CCCCAAAACCCCAAAACCCCAAAACCCCAGAATAATAGTGGGTAATTGATATCATTAATAAATATGTGTGGAATATTTTTCCAGGTAAGCTCTCAGATTTCTCCATGCTGTCTTTAAACTATCACATAGATTTCCAAAATTCCTCCAGAAGTGCTTCAGGCTCTGATGAGGTTGCTCTCACAAGCAAATCTGTCACAACAAAAGCTAAGGTAAGGATATTAGATCTCAATCTCAACTGCAAAACTGACACTCTAAATAGCTCGAGCACTGGTGTAGCAGCTCTTTCCGAGGAGTCCAAGAAGGATACAACCAAATCTAAGAATAAAATAGACAGAATGAATGAGGAGCAGTAAGTCATGTCTGCTCTCTCATATTCTCTAACCTATATTTGCTTTTTAGGAAAGAAGAGGTCATTGAAATGCAGGATTTCTTGCCAAATGAAAATCCCACTGATGAACAGATCGAGCTGATCATAGGATCAAGGGGTCCTAGTTACCAATGAATGATGAATTCTAGCTCTCATAATGAGAACCCTATCCATCTTTATAGCTCCGTACTTCATTTGAGAGGGGAAGAAGTCACTCATCAACCTTTCACTGATGATCTTGGCAACCTGTTCCAGTACAATGGTGAGATCTTTAGAATCCAAGGCGATAATGAGCATGATTTCGGTAAATTAATGAGTTTAAATCTAGACCTTATTACTCAAAATGATGGACAACAGCTATTCAAAGTATTAATGATTGCTGATTTTGTAGATAATGACCCAGCTCTCACAAGAGCTTCATTCACAAAAGATTTCATTCTATGAATACCAGAAAAAGTTTGAGAAATTGTTCTTCAACTCTCTTGAAGGTGATTTCGCCCTGTGCTATTTTGATGATCTGAACCAAATTCTTATCCTCACAAGGGATATGTTTGGTAAAAGAAGTCTCTTGGTAGGATTATCGGAAGAAGAGTCAAAGCTAACAGTTATGTCAACTTCTGTCTTCCCATCGAATCATAAGGTTTACGAAGTCCCTGCAAATTCAATTCTCTTCATAGCTACTTCTGAAGGAACTGGAGTACCTGAAAACTGAGAAGACATGAACCAGTTTTTCTGTTTCGCTGTGAATCATAGTGTCAATTACGACGTCTCCCCATCCTTGATCAGGTGGGAGCAGGAGATATTCACATCTGAAGACAGCGGTAAGTATCGAGGGTAAATCTTAGAACTTACTTTTGAAGACTCTTTGGAGTTAGTCCATCAATCTCTCCTTCAAAGTGTCAGACAGAGATTTGAAAGTATTCCTGAAGTTGTGTTCAAAAATCCTTCTCAGGAAGAATCCAAAGAAATAGAATATCAGGAGACTCAAAGTGAAGTAGCAGTAAGATATTTAGTAATATCTTACAAAAATAGGTCCTATTTTCAGGAGGAATCGACTCGACTCTCCTCGCTGCACTGATATGAGAGGTTTGCCAAGATAACAAAAATGAAGGGACTCCAAAAGTTTCCTCTATCGATCTGTTGACTATTTGCTTCGGAAGAAATTCATCAGATTTGCTAACATCTATAATCTCATATCACCAGCTTTGTCAAAAATTTCCTACAGTAAAACTAAACTTGATCATAATTGAGTAACTTAGTGTGTAAATTTTAGAAAAACCCAGAAAGATATAGAGCTTCTCGAAAGTGGAGGAAATTACACACTGAAACAGGTAAATAACAGCCTAACCTCGGTAGTTAATCCATCCAAAGAGTTCTCACATGGATTTCAACATTGCATGTGCCCTTCACCTGGCAAGCCAGGGTAAGGGGAAAATTTTGGATTCAGAGGCATTCTTCTCACAAGATTTTTTCCAAGAAGTCATTGAAGCAGTCTCTAAATCCTGAATTGAAAAAGAAGAAGAAAAGGCAGAGGAAAATCCAGAAGGTAGCAAGAAGTCCTATGACTCTAATATGATCACCAAGGTGATCGAGAAGAACCTTGATCTCCAGAATTTAGAAGACTACTTTCTTCCTGGTGTATTTAATAGTAGCGCGAAGGTTCTCATGAGCGGCCTAGGCGCTGATGAAGTCTTTGGAGGATACGCAAGATATTCTACAGCATCTAAAAGATCAATGAAAGACCTTCAGGATGAAATCTCATTGGATTTAGATCGTCTCTGGGAAAGAAACTTTGGAAGAGATGATAGAGCGATTAGCTCAACTGGCAAAGAATGAAGGTAACTTACCTACTAAATTTCTAGATATCCCTTCCTAGATAAAAATATCCTGAAGACTGCCAGTCAAATCCCAATTGATTACATCTGTGATTTTACAATGCCAAGGGGGATTGGAGAGAAAAGAATCCTCAGAAAATTGGCACAATCCCTGAATCTCAATCTTGTGCAGCATTTTGAAAAGAGAGCCATCCAGTTCGGAACCAGAATAGGTAATTTCTTCTGCTAAAATATAGCTAAAATCTCAAATAAGGCGAAATTCGGATCAAATAGAAAAGCTAATGGGGTTGCTCAGTACGTATAAAGTTTCAATATCAACAGATATTTATGGGGTTTTGGGGTTTTGGGGTTTTGGGGTTTTGGGG